GATGGGGAAGGGTTTGAGACAGGGTTGTCCCTTGTCACAAATCCTCTTTGCATGCATGCAGGACCCATTTTATAGGCTTATAGAGGAAGGAGTGTGGGAACGGGGAGGGAAGGGTCCTGGCAGATGTGGGATTGTGGGGTATGTGGATGACACCACAATTTTGGTGGGAGGGGAAATAGGATTTGGGAATGTGGGACGTATAATAGAGATTTTTGGTGGGGCGACTGGGATGAGGGTTAATGGAGCAAAGTCTAAGTTAATGGAAGTAGGTACGTGGGTGGGGGGGGGGAGGAATTGTATCAGTGGAACATTGTGGATAGAATTAAGATCTGCGGGGTGGTGTACATGGCAGAGGCTGGGGAGGCGCAGAGGGTAAATTCAAGGGACGTTGTGAGTAGAGCGATGGGTAGGATGCGAGGGTGGAGAGCCGGGGATGTAACGTTGCAGCAGAGGGTGATGGTGGTAAACACACTGGTGTATAGTAAAGTGTGGGGAGTGGCAGAAGTATATCCCCTGAGGGCGTGTGATATTGAGGAACTGGAGAGGGGGGTTATGAGGAATGTGTGGGGTTATGGCAGGCCGTGGCTTCGGAAGGAGGTGGTGATGAACGTGCGACTGGGTGGGCTGGGGCTCATACCTTTGGACACACGTGTTAAGGCAGTATATGTGAAGCAGGGGTACCTAAGGGCGGGAGGGGAGAGGGGTATAAGGGTGGGAGAGGTCATGGAGGATGTGAGGAAATGGTGGAAGGGGAAGGCGTTATTGATGTGTGAAGATATGATGCATAATTTATTGAAAATCCAGGATGCCAGGAAGGTAAAGGTTAGTAGATTTGGGAGGACAGGTAGGCTGGTAGATAAGACACATAGGCAACATTTAGGCAACTTATTTCGAAACGTTTCGCCTACACAATAGGCTTCTTCAGTCGAGTACAGAAATTAGGCAGGAGCAGTAGAGATGTGAAGACGATGTAATCAGTCCATCACCCTTGAAGTCGTAGATTTGAGGTTGTCAGTCTGGAGAAGTTCTGTTCCAAAGTCTGGAACTAACTGAAGATCAAGCGACAGTGTTGAGACTTAATACCCTTTGAGGGTTTTGGTCGTACTAGTACGTCTTACGCGTAGGGTTTTTTGACGTACTAGTACGCATAAATTCTAGCGGCCTCAAATCTAGTGGGAGAAAGCTGGTAGGCCTTCATATGAAAGAATGGGTCTATGTGGTCAGTGTGCACAGTCTAAAAAAAATCCTGCAGCACACAGTGCATAATGAGAAAAAAAAAACTTTGACCATTTTTTTGGAATAAATCAGCGACTTTGCAGTGTATTTTCGTATGGTATTTATTGTTGTATTCTAGTCTTCTTGGTCTCATTTTATAGAATGGAAGACATATTACAGAAATTGAGATGATTTTGACAGGTTTTACAATTAAAGGTGCCTTGAAATTGAGCTCAAAGTAGCAGAAATGTTCGATTTTTACCAAACTTCAAAAGTAAACAAATCGTGCCAAGCGTGCAATACACGTCAACTGGTGAGTCTAATATTCTTTCACAAGTGCACCAATAATATTTATACCATTTTTTACACTAATGCAGTAGTCTGCATAACAGTAAATCTTATATTTTTTGTGAGAATAAAAATTCAAAGTGGAAAGCAAAAGAATATAAGAGGGGCCTTGAGACGTGACTAATGACTAGAGAAAATGTCATTTTAGTGCCAGGAATGTCTTTCTTGTTTATTCTGGACCCTATTCGGAAATTGGCATCTTTTGAAATTTGTGTGAAATTGGCAAAATTGCTAATTTCTGACAACTGTACTGGATAGTTGAATTTCATAAATGGGTGGTTTCTTGCACCCATTCGATAGAAAAAATGGAGTTCTAGCGAAATATTTATGTTTTTTGTCGACTAGTACAGTGAAATTGGCCGAAAATGGGGCTCAAAGTGGGCAAAATCGCCGATGCGTAAACATCGCCGAGACCGCTAACTTTGCGAGAGCATAATTCCGTAAGTTTTCTATCAAATTTCAAACTTTTGGTGTCTTTATGATCGGGAAAAGATTCTCTATCTTTTCATAAGAGAAAATAATTTTTTTTTTAAATTTGGCCGACCCTGAGAACGAGTTTCGGAGAGGGCCTGTCGACCCTCAAAGGGTTTAAATACTGTCGAAAGGAGAGGTGCAGAGTAGTAGTAGTGAGAATGTAGCCACTGAGAGGTCATGTCCTTCTCAGATCAAACAATTCTCACTTGAAAAAGTTGTCCAAGGTGTTTTCTCTTCTGTATCAAGATGCCATTGTGTTGCAGTGTCTGACAGTGTGATTATCAAATGGTATACAATACCGACAGGTTGGTAGATAAGACACATAGGCAACATTTAGGCAACTTATTTCGAAACGTTTCGCTTACACAGTAGGCTTCTTCAGTCGAGTGCAGAAATTAGGCAGGAGCAGTAGAGATGTGAAGACGATGTAATCAGTCCATCACCCTTAAAGTCGTAGATTTGAGGTTGTCAGTCTGGAGGAGTTCTGTTCCAAAGTCTGGAACTAACTGAAGATCAAGCGACAGTATTTAAGTCTCAACACTGTCGCTTGATGTTCAGTTAGTTCCAGACTTTGGAACAGAACTTCTCCAGGCTGAGGGACTGACAACCTCAAATCTACGACTTCAAGGGTGATGGACTGCTTACATTGTCTTCACATCTCTACTGCTCATGCCTAATTTCTGTACTCGATTGAAGAAGCCTACTGTGTAGGCGAAACGTTTCGAAATAAGTTGCCTAAATGTTGCCTATGTGTCTTATCTACCAACCTGTCGGTATTGTATACCATTTGATAATCAGGACAGGTAGGCAGGGAGAGGTGATACAGGGACTAGACACATACCCGATGTATGATTGGAGGGGCATTTGGGAAGACTTTCGAAAGATTAGATTAAAGCCGAAGGTTCGTGAATTGGAACATGGGTTTTTTCTGGGAATTCTAGCTTCAAGGTCTGTGCTATATAGAATGGGTTATGTAGGTGCAGGGAATTGTCAGCATTGTGGGGAGGAGGAGACAGCTTTTCATGCTGTATATTTTTGTGAAAGCTTGTAGGTTGTAAGCACATGGTTAGCAAGGATCCTAGGTATAGTGGCGGGGGGGGGGGGGAGTAACATCTCGACCTTGAGGGCGTTGCACTTTGATGTGGGTGGGGTTTCCAAGGACATTCGGCGGGCTGTGATGTACGTGGTGGCAGATTTTTTGTATGTTTCTTGGGGTATGCGGGAGGTGGGGGGTGATTGTAGGGTGAGGGCACTTGCAGCGAGTGTGTATTGTACGGTTTGCAGGAATAGGCTACTGTATGGGAAGGTGTGGGTAAATAGTTTCCCAGTGGGTTATCGTAAACTGACGGTAGGTGTTATGTTAGGGTTGGATGCAGGGTAGAGCTGGAATAGGTGTATTCCCTGAGTCTGTCACTTTTGTTCTGTTTTGAGATTAGTGGAGGATGAAATGTGAATAAAAGTATGTGGTAGTGGAGTATATGGGTGTGCAGTCGTTAGGCATGAGGGATGGCGTAGGGGGGGGTGACCTGGTGACCTGTGATTAAGAGACAGGGGTTTATGACTTTAGACTTCAGGTACGGGCTTGAGAATGTAAGGGAACGTAAGTTTGTGTTTGTAATATAGACAGTATGGGATCAGGGGATGGCAGGGGGTGGCTTCCTGAAGTGTCTTGTACCTGGATGGATTTTTAATGATGGAGGTAGTGCTGCTCTGCACATGTATTATTAGGAGCGATAATGTTATATTATCTTTCTCAGTGTGTCAAAGAGTAGGTCTGATAATGTTCCGAATACTGGTTACTATACATCTGTATCTTGTTGAACATGTTAAAACATAAATATGGGAATATGTATTTAGTGTGTGAGTTTCATTGTCTAGTGTACAGTTACCATATTTAGTTGGCATTCTTCATTATTGTCAAGTAATGTTACTATCTATTTTTTGTCATAAGTTTTAATTATGTTAGTTAATTATTTTATAAGTTAAGTGAACAATAGTCAGACGTTGTGACGTCTAGTGTAAGTGGCATTTAATTTTGCACTGGGGAAAAGGGGGGTGTAAGTAATTATGATGGGATCATAACGACATGCAATTGAATGTGTGTACACTGTATTTAGAAGACGGGAAGGAGTTGTGAGACTTGACAATATTTGTATTAAATCTTAAGTAAATTTCATGGAATTCTGTGTAACGACAATGTTCACCTCTTAGTCGGCTGATAAGTAGAATAGAAATATTCATGCTAATTGTAATATATTTTGATTGATGAAACGTACAATATTGTATTTATCATAGGAGTAAAGGGATAAAAAGCATAGGAGATGAGGGATATTTTGTGTCAGCACAAAGAGGAACCTGCAGTGTGTATTTAGGAAATGAAAATTTATTTTGTGGCGGAGCCGTTAATAGGGTTCTTTTATTTATTTAATGTATTGCAATGTAATTTTAAATAAAATATAAAAAAAACTCACACTTAATGTTGCTATTACCTGATAGCACAATGTTACCATTACCTAATCACACTCAGATATTACTTCCTCACACTCAGTGTTAATATTACCTACTCACACTCAGTGTTAATATTACCTACTCACACTCAGTGTTAATATTACCTGCTCACACTCAGTGTTAATATTACCAGCTCACACTCAGTGTTAATATTACCAGCTCACACTCAGTGTTAATATTACCAGCTCACACTCAGTGTTAATATTACCTGCTCACACTCAGTGTTAATATTACCTGCTCACACTCAGTGTTAATATTACCAGCTCACACTCAGTGTTAATATTACCTGCTCACACTCGTGATCGCTTACCATTATCCGCTCACACTTGTTCACATGTATTAATGCTTAATGTTAATGAATACTACTTACAGTTTAATTTGTTGATGTATAAGCGCCAATTAAAATTGAACTTTACTTATCACTGAGCGACTATAACATGGTGTTATGTTTACAGGTTATCAACGAGAGCTATTGTACCGGAGACGTGATGGCTCCTACAGCGCCTTCGGCAACGCTGATGATTCTGGCTCCACTTGGCTCTCGGCCTTTGTTCTAAAGTCCTTCGCTCAGGCTCAGGAATTCATTTTGGTGAGTTAACATTTGTTTTACACGTTTAAAACATAACAACCGGGTTCAGAAACTTTTGAAGTCGCATATTCGAAGAATCATGTTATTAAATGGAAGCTCAGAAGCGATGAACAAATTACCTCTCAGTACTGTCATATTGCAAAGAATGTTGAATGAACACGATAGAGCACAGTGTTTCTGATCATTGAAGGAGTTAGAGGGAAAAATATTTAGGTATCTAAGCAAGATTATTTACAGGAGCTCAAACACTGACAACATAATAAGGTCTAAACCATACCCCCGGCCGGGATTGAACCCGCGGTCATAGAGTCTCAAAACTCCAGCCCGTCGCGTTAGCTAACGCGACGGGCTGGAGTTTTGAGACTCTATGACCGCGGGTTCAATCCCGGCCGGGGGTATGGTTTATTTGCAATCGTGTCATTACGATTTCTTAAGTCATAATAAGGTCTAGATGGTGTTCGTCATCATTCGTTACTCTAGTGAGAGTGAGTCTATGCCATTATTGATTTGGGAAGGAAAGTATGTGGACTCACCTCAGGGATCAGTTCCAGGGGTCATTATTCCTGTTTTATATAAATGACTTACAAGATGCGGAAACATTCCTGAGTCCTTACTCGCTGATGATATGATACTATTGAGAAGAATGCAAGTGAGAAAGGATATACATGGTTTTTAGGTAGCTGATGGCGGTTACTCCAAGCAGTGAGATGTTATTATACTTGGGTAAGACGAGAAGAGAACATAAATGGAAACATAACTTAGAGGAGACTGAATACGTCGACAAGAAAAGAATGTCAAGAAGCTAACATAATAATGAACAGGAACTGTCACAGGAGCAGCGCATCAGTCGTTGATCTTCGTCAATTATATATGAGGTTATAAATCTCAAAATAACTGAAGAATCTCACAGTAAAAACCCTGAAGATTATTTTTACAATGTGTAGTTTATAAGATGCAAAAGTTTGCAACCAGACTAGTTTAAGAAATGAAAAGAAGCTTTATGAGAGAAATTGAAGGAAGTGAATAAGACGACACTAGATGAGAGGAAGATTATATATGACATGATTACGACGTTCAAAAATTAATGTCGGAGAGGAAGAAATGTCTGAAAGATTGGAACTAAGAGCAACATGATGTAAATGGAAGGTAAAAAACACTGTGAAGGTCAAATTGACATTAGGAAAAACTTTAGTCATGCTCAGGGTAGTAAGAAAATGAAGTAAATTGGATGGATAAGAGCAGTTATTCTATCTTCGATCATTACCACTTCCAGTTTTATTTAAAAGGCAGAATAAGACCTACAACATTCTGCTAATATTAAAGTACCTACGTACTGCTGGGTGAACAGAGGCAATAGGAATAAGGACAAAAACACATGTCTCGCCCAAACTGAGAATCGATCACCGGAAGCATCAGTTGTGGACCAAGGATTCTAACAGCGACCTACAAGACACAGTATTAGGTGCACACATGATATGATTTAAGAAGCCACAACCCAGTTATGCTGATCAACATTTAGTAGAGAAACTAGGAGCCGAGATTCTTCTCTCAAAAACACATAAACATAAACAAACATGCACGCTCGCTCTTATGCACACTCACACATGTGTGTGTGTGTATACGTATCTATATATATATATATATATATATATATATATATATATATATATATATATATATAAATATATATATATATATATATATATATATATATATATATATATATATATATATATATTTATATATATGATGAAGTAAAGGGTGTGATGAAAGAGAAAAAGTTAGCTAATGAGAGGTATTTACAAAGCAGAAGTGTTATAAGAAGAGT